CAAATAAACTTAAAATATTATAACGAACGAAAAGGTAACCCATTTCTAATAAAATTTAATTATTTATTTTATTTTGGTGTGATCGTCGAAAAAATCTTGTGTGTAATTCGAGCAAAAAGTACTTTGGCTGTTTCGATAACTTTTTGTCTCAACAGCTATTTTGTTGCAAAAATTTTATAAACTTTTACTTAGGGTAGATTTCACCGTTTTGTTAAACGAAGTTTAAAATACTAAACGAAGTTTAAAATGACATTCTTATATTAACAAAAACGAAGTTTAAATTACTAAATGGAGTTTAAAATGACATTTTTACATTAACAATGTCATTTTAATTTTCTTTTAATAATTTAAACTTCGTTTAACACAACGGTGGAATCGGCCCTTAGCTAGTTATATATTGATAAAGTGTTATTGCCCTCATCATACATGAATCGTGCTAACAAATAAAGTCAAAAAAACGTCTCATAACTTTTCATCTTTTAGTTACCCACCAAAATTAGGTACTACAATACAAATATTTAAGTCCGGCCCAGAACATCTCCCTACTCCTTCCACCCAGTTTTTCGGTTTTGGCAAAATTCGCGCAGCGACAAATTCTTCCTATGTTACCTCTACCCTTTCTAACCTCTTTGGAGTTGCCACGGCACTGACAGTTAGTGTTACCAGTTTAGTACAATTGTACTAGATCTAGTACATTATTTAAGAATCTAGTACACTCGAAGCAAAATCTAGTACTTTTACTTTTTTCAGTCCGTTTCCATTTGACGGGTAAAATAATATACGGTTGGGTTCTTCCTTATTTGTGGTCGTTTTCGATAAAAGCTTATTGAACCAAACCATTAAAATTCGAAAAATATGGTACAATTTATAGAATCTGGTTTATTTTTATGGAATCTGGTACATTTTTTAGACAAATCTGGTACATAACAAAAATATATTCTGATAACACTTGTCTCTACCACATTCAAAATGGTTCTATTTTTGGTGACATATCACTTTAGTGTCACAAAATTACAGATTTGATATATGTTTTAAATAAAACTACCGATAGATATTTCTTGATTTTTGGAAAAAAAAATTGCTGATTATAGTCAAAATTCAAAAATATGGCCTTTCCAAGTTGGAACTATTTTTTATTGCGGATGTTGAAAATTACCAATTATTTGATAAAAGCGTAGTAATTTCGATACGCGGATGCTCTTTTGTTTGTTTGTCGAAAATTTGATTTTATTTATAGCAATTTATTTGTGTTTTTATGTTTTACATAGATTTTAAGTATTTTATGGATTAGTTATATGGTACGAAATATATAGCGCAATTACCTACTAAAGATATATTTATCAATATTTCTGAGCATATTGCAGAAAAATGTGTATTTTAAATCAATAAAAATATTTCTAAGTTTTATGTTGTTTACTGCAACAATCAATATATTTACTTAGGCAACTTAGGTTTGTTTGGTAGAAGTAGTGATATCAAGCTGAGAAGCGAGAATGTATACTCTTTGATCTGTCTCAGTTGGCCGGGAAGCGAATTTTTGAAAATTAAGTTTTCGTTTCAGGCGACATACGTAATTTTTTAATTATTTTGATATTTCAAGTAGAACAAATGAATCAGTCATTTGAGAAACGACACATGTCACATTTTTGACCATTTTGTTTTTATTACAAAAATACAATATTTAAAGGTAAATTATAATTATTGTATTATACCCAAAATAGAGCAAGTTTTATACGTTAAGTGTACAAAACTATTTTTCTCCATGTTTTGAGATTTTCACTTTTTCTTATTTTTTAAAAAATTATCTTAAACTGACATGTGCTGTTTCTCAAATGACCGATTCAAATATATAATTTTTTTGTTAGTGGTGTTTTATTGTGCAAATATAGGAAAACATGTTTGGGGTGGTACATTTCACGACAAAAGCATTTTTTTAATGCTGTTTCTATATAGGTAAACACACTACATTTTTCCAAACAAAATATATGGGTTTTGATCACTTCAATTTTTCATTATATTTTACTGGAAAAATACTGCAAAAATTTACTATAGAAACTAGTTATTTTTGGGTGTTGACAAATTTTTTGCAAAACTCGCACTTGAACTCAGCGCACAATTCACTCATGTTATAAAAAAATAAAAAAATTAAGGTTAGAAAAATTGGTAATATTTTGACAAAATCCGCACTTTTCTGTAAATAATTACTCTCTATCTCATTCAAAATGGTTTTATTTTCTTTTTTTCTAAATCGCTTACTTTTTGTGACACTAAAGTGTTATGGACCCCTATTTTTTTCTAAATCGCTTTTTGTGACACTAGAGTGTTATGGACCCCCACCCTCTTTCAATTTAAGTGAAAAAAATTAAATAATAAACCAATAATAATACTCACCTAATGTATCTATTAGTCCCTTTTGAAACAGCGGCACCATTGGTCAAACACATCACATACTAAATACATTGTTAAAATTTTTATTAACAATACATAAACCGAACTATATGACAAAAACCTGCACGTGCACTGCCGATATATTTTTCGTTTGAAGGTTCGAGAATTACTGATTCATTTTTAATACATTTTAAAATATAAAAACCCTTTACATAATGATATTTATGATTCACCAACATTGGCTTATTCTGAACGATATCAAAAAAAAAACATACTGCTTGTCCCAAATTAAAATTCTACTTCATATTAAATTCGAGGTCGGTGAAATTAGCACCCCAATGATATTTTTGAAAAAAGAAAACTATTGCACCAAAATAGTCATGCACCAATATGCACGAGAAATGAAATATTGAATCGAAAATGATTTTTTAAAAAGTTTTATTTTACTTAAATAAAAGAAATTTAGATGTTTAAGACTTGAATGTTAAATAAGAACTCCCTTTTAACCAGGCATGGATTTACCACTAGGCCCACTAGGCCCGGGCCTAGGGGCGCACGGCACCAAGGGGCGCCCTGTCATAAAAAAGAATCGAAATCAAATTTGTTTAGTTTACATTAAAAAAAAAAAGATTCTAGTCATACTATTATTATACCGTGTTAATATTATTAGGCCAATGCTGACACAATTTTATGTAAGTTTGTGTGAAGTATGTAAATTCGCATTAGAATCGTCACACAACAAAATGCGTAGCCCGCAGTTGAAGGAAGCGTCCGCTTGACCAAATCTCAAGCCGCGCGCTTGACTATTAGATACGAGTGCCTCTATTGGGGGGCTATTTTCAAAGTATGGGAGCACTCATTTCTCTCAAGATTCTCATCAGAAATGTCATACGTCAATGTGGAAATGTTGTTTTTAAAGGCATCGAGGATTAAAATTCTTAGGAAGATTTTAATTCTCTCTAAATAAACCGAGAGAAACAGTCAGTGAGTTCACACTGGCCCTAAGAGCCCTAAAAATACGGTTTTACCTTGACGTATGACATTTCTCTTGAGAGAAATGAATTCTCTCGAGTTTGAAAATAGCCCCCCTGTAGGGTTGTGTCAGTGTTGCCAATGGCTAAAAATAAAATTATGCTCTCCCTCCAACATAATTATGCGATTTTGCCCAAGATTGTGTGATCTAATGACAAAACTTACTCGACACCATTTTTGTCATTTATGACGTCATCGTAGACCTCAACTCTCTGCGTAAAATATATTATCCATCGAGGCCTACAGTGACATCACCAGTCGCCAAGGGATTTTCCAACCTTCGCCCATTATTCGACGGGGTTTTTAAATGACCTATTTTGTTGGTAAAAAAAATTAAACACAGTTTTAACACAATAAAAATATGGTTATATTCAATTTAAAGTAAAAATAGAGGAGATCGGCATATAATACTGATGTTATAATAAAAAACAAAAATAAAAATAATATTTTAATTCTCTTAAAACAAGTTTAGTCCTGCGATCTGAACTATTACAAATAAAATATATCAAAAAAAAAACAAGTTCCTCAGTACCTTATGCTTATGAACCAAATAAAATAATTTCATGGTTCAGAAAAGCTACCAGAAAAAATAAATAAAAATAAGTTATACTTTTTGTCTTGCCAGATCTTACATTCCAACATCTTTTTTGACGGTTGGAATTTAACACAACCGCCACTTCCGTCAACTCCAGCCTTGGTCGCTAAAATAGCTTTTATTGTTGAGGTGTTTAATAAATTCCTTTTGTCGGTTTTAATATTGAAGAAATCACTAAAAATCCGTTCAACACTGGCGTTTGAAAAAGGCAAAACAAAAAGTAGCGACAAAACTCATTTTAAATTGGGAAACAAAAAATTATTTGCGTCGTTTTTCAATTTGAAAATTTTTGACCAATACTGCTCAGGTTCATTACAGTTATTTAATTCCAGTGCTTCAAAATTTAGAAGAGCATGCCTTCTCCATTCATTGTCTAATGCTTGAATATCCACATGATCTTTTAAAATAGGAAATTTGTCCAGAATATGTTTTAAAGACTTAGTCTCAAAACTTTGAGCTGTTTTTGGGTCAATAATTTCGGTTATTTTAAAACTAGGATCTTCGAATCTGAATCGGTCTTTAATATTTTTAACTAATTCTATATAAAAAGATAATATGGTTTTCAAGAACCTGTCTAAGTCATGTCTCTCTATATTTGGTTTTATTTTTAAATCTTGAAAACTGTCTGTTGCTAAAATCCCTAAGTAAATATTCTCTAATGGAACAAAATTTGAAGGATTTTCATGGTTAAGTTTATGAATGTCTTTGTTTTTGATTATTGAAATGTTGATAAAATTAGAGCACAATTTTTTTAGTAGTCTCTGTTTCTGGCTTAACTTTATAAAGAAGTGGCTTTTCTGATTGAAACAGTACGAAATCACAGAGCTAGGGAAAATAGTTGCATATTACGACTCTTTGTGTGGTTTTCTTTAAGAAGTAAGGAACAACTTTGATGACCTGGAACGATCAGCGAAAGAGAAGTGTAGGAGAGAGTATATGGCTGATAATCGGCGTAAAAGGAAGGTACCTACTAAGTTTGGTAAATATGATCAATTTACAGGGTCGGAGAACTTTCGTGTACACTTTTAACTGCATATTGGACTCCCTATACTCCGAAATCAGGAAACGTGAGTGTGAATATTCTGATCTTCACAATAGGTTTGGTTTTCTTGAAAATATCAAAACTCTTGAGGCATCTGATATCACCAAATGTGCAAGAGAACTATTAAGTGCGTATCCCAAAGATCTTGAGCCTGTTGTTGTGGACGAGTGTTTACATTTAAAATCATTTTTGTTGAACAACAGTGAAAACGACAATATAAAAACGAGTATGACTGAAATTAGCAAGGTTTTGTATAATTTTGACATGGTTGATGTGTACATTAACATTGCCATTGCGTTAAGAATGGTTCTTAGTTCTCCAGCCACTAACTATTCAGCAGAAAGATCCTTTTCCATCCTTCGTCGTGTGAAGAACTACCTAAGATCCACAACCACGACAGATTGATATCACTAGCCCTGCTCGCCATCAAGGGGAGACTAACTCAATCGATTTCCTACGATGACATCATAGACAAATTTGCTCGAAAGAAAGCAAAAAGGAAGGCTTTATAAGGTTTTATATATCTGTATTGTTCACATTTTATGTATTATATAGTTGTAGTTTTTATTTCTACATAAAACTGATTGTTCACTTGGCTTAAAGAATTATTTTCATTTGGTTGGCCCTGAATTCGATTGGGGTTTCTTGTAATATTAAAAATTATTTACCTTTTCCAATTCTGTTTTGTGTTAACCCTAAGGAGCGAAACCTGTAGTGCTAACACAAAAACAAAATTGGAAAAGGTAATTAATATTTAATATTATAAATAATCAAAGAATTATCTTTAAATAAATGATTAGTTCGCTGTTAACAAGTATTTATTTGAACATGGTGCAAAATGAGATATACAGGGTGTACCAATAAAAACTCCCAGGCCGGATATTTTGGTAAGTAATAGAGATATTTTAATTCTGTAAAAGCCAGTTCATAGAGCGCTAAGAGATCTTCAGTTTTAGATATAAATTGATTTTAAATAGGTAAATATGTAGATGGCGCTGCGCTCAATAATTATTTTTCGATGGGAGAATCTTTCTTATGTAGCGCATCTTGTAAAAAATGCATTTTTAAGTAAATTTTGTTTTATGAACTAATTCGATAAATCTAGCCATTTTTGATATACAGAGTAGGTCATTCAAAACAGTTTCATCCTGTTTTTCGGCATTAATTATTGTATTTTTGGAAAATGCTAAAACAGGTCGATTTTTATTCTAAATTAAACACATTTTTGCAATACAGACATCTGTCCTGTGTCAACCCCCTCCCTTCCACTTCTCCAACCCCTTAATTTTAAATAAGGAATGTACCATGTACGGCACATCATTAAAAAGGTAATTTTATGGGGAAGTCAGAAATATGACAGTTTATTGCGAACCTTTTAATTTTAGCGCCCTATATCATGATAAAAAAAATCTAACGTATTTTAAAGTGTGACACTTCATTTGAAAGGTAATTTAAATACTAATTCAATGCGCCACATAACATTAATAAAAATATTTCCATATTGCACTTGCAACAAAATAAAGTTAGCAATAATGTTTAAAATAATTGACTAATTTTTAAACTACTACAAGAGCAATGTGGATATTTATATTATTATTAAGTTATTAATTAATGTTATGTGGTACATTGAATTAGTAATTAATACGTAGTTTTTTATCCCGATAGAGGGCGGTACAATTAAAAGTATCACAATGAACAGTCATATTTCTAAATTTCCCATAAAATTACCTTTTTAATGATTTACTACACATTGTAGTATCACACTCTATAATACGTAGTAGTTTTTTATCCCGCTAGGGGGCGATAAAATTTAAGTAACGTACCTAATTTACAGAAATATTTCTGAATCTCTTATTAAATTACCTTTTCAATGATGAGCCATACATGGTCCATTACCTATTTAAAATTAAGGTGTGGAGAAGTACAAGGGAGGGGGTTGACATATGACATATCTCTATATTGTATAAATGTCTTTAATTTGGAATAAAAATCGACCTGTTTTAGCATTGTCCAAAAATACAATGATTAATGCCGAAAAACAGGATAAAACTGTTTTGAATGACCCACTCTGTATATCAAAAACGGCTAGGTTTATCGAATTAGTTCATAGAACAAAATTTGCTTAAAATGCATTTTTTACAAGATGCGCTACACAAGAAAGATCCTCCAATCGAAAAATAAATATTGAGCGCAGCGCCATCTACATATTGACCTATTTAAAATTAATTTACATCTAAAACTGAAGCTCTCTTAGTACTGTGTGAACTGGCTTTTACAGAATTAAAATATCTCTATTACTTACCAATATATCCGACCTGGGAGTTTTTATTGGTACACCCTGTATATTAGCTATCAATAAATTTTATTTCAGAAAACAAAATCCTTCTATCAGTGTATGATAGGGGGGCGCCAAATTTATTCGAGCCTAGGGGCGCTGTAATGGTAAATCCGGCCCTGCTTTTAACTGAATAAACTATTTTTATTTAAACAAACTATTCTAAAATGCTAAATATGCAAAATCGTATCTTTTATAATATATTCTTCTATAGTATGGATGATATAACTTCTCCCCCTGAAGATTCCAGGTTCCGAGGGCTAACGAGGAAGATGGATATCTTATACGTTAAACTTTCTTCTGTCCCTCTTGGATTTTCTTTAAGTTTTTTCCATTTTTAAAATAGCCAGAATATAAGGATGAAAATCAATATAATATAAATAATAATAGTCCATGAGCTTGGTACATATGGAATGGTTTTGGATTCGAATTTAGGTTGAATTTGAATTATATTTTCTCGTAGAGTTTGAAGGTCATCTAGATTGATGGGTTGCAATGGGACATTGGGAGTGGACCATTCTTTTTCTGCGATTTGGTCCTCCATTTTGGGAAATAGAATTGGTTGATTTTCGAATTAATTTGACTCAGCATTAACAATGTTATAATTTGACAATTTGTGGGAATTACTGCTAGGAAGGTTCCAAACAGCTTAATTATTTCTTCTTGAGAATTACATCGTAATTTCTTTGCGTAGGACCATAATCCATTGATTCGTTTGTTCTAACCTCGTGAATGAAGGACGTGATAAGGCTGTAGATACTTGTGGGCATGTGAAGGTGGTTTCGTAGTTTAGAAGTTGGATTTCGCAGGAGCTGTTCTAATTTACTTTTCTGAGACTAGTTGGGTCACAAATGTAATTTTGTTAAAGATTCTACGATTTCGTAAGCGTCCTTTTCTACCGCAGAATGTCTTCGTTCACTGTCAGAAAGAGTTCTAGAAAAGAAATCAACAGGCCTGCCATCTTGGGACAAAGTAGCAGCTATGGCGAAATCGGAAGCATCCGTCTCGATAACAAATGGAATGTTGTCGTCAATAGCAGAAACAAATGATTTTGATATCTGTTCTTTTATATTTTTGAAGCAGGTAGCAGCCTCAACAGAAACTGGGAAGGACTTGCATTCAATAAGCGGTCTTATTGCATCTGAAAATGTGGGTATCCACTTAGCGTAATGAGGAAACATTCCCAGGATTCAGCGAAGTGACAACAGATTGGTAGGTAAGTTTAACTCTCTTAGGGGACGGAGACGATCAGCATCTGGCTTAATAGTTTTATTTTCTATTGTATATCCAAGTAAATTTATGGATCTTATGGAAAATTGAGATTTTTCTTCATTAATAGTTAATTTATACTTTTGTTAACCTCTAAAAATCTATAGAGATTCAAATCATGTTCCTCCTGATTGTTACCGCATATAGTTACATCGTCTAGATACGCATACGTTCCTTGGAGATCTTCCTTTTCAATAATGGTATTAATAACTCTTTGAAATGCCGTCACTCCATTGGTAACTCCAAAGGGGATTCTTAGAAATTGATAAAGAGCTCCATTTGCTTCGAAAGCAGTATATAGTTTATCCTCTGTTTGAATTGGGATTTGATGGTACGCACTCCTTAAATCTATAGAGCTGAAAATAGAATATCGTGATACTCTAGATATTAATTCTTCAATATTTGACCGGATAAGCATCTAGTTCAGTGAATCTATTTATTGTTTGGGCATAATTAATAACCATTCTTTTTTTTGTGATTACTATTCTTAGTAACAAGAGCTTGAGCTCTCCAGGGGGAACTTTTTTCTTCGATTCTTCATTCTTTAAGAAGTTTCTTTACTTCAGATTCAATAAAGTTTAGATCTTCGTTTCAATGTCGACAAGATTTAATAGCAATAAGGTGACAATCTGCACTGAGGTTAGTAAAGAGACGAGCTGGTGGTACCACTGCTTGAGCAAGACAGCAGATTTTAAGAGTTATTTGTTCCTTCAAAAGAAACTTCAAGTGTTTTGTGATTGCTGAGGACGTCATGACCTATTATAACGTCTGCGCACAAATTCTTCATGATTAGGAATTTGACACTTTTATACACAACACCTTGTATTTCTAGTGTCAACATGCAGTTTCCTTCAACATGGGATTCAACGTCTAACGAAGCCATATTTACGATATCATTTGATGGAAGTATTTTTACATTACATCGATTGGCAATGGAAAAATCGATAATACTCGAAGTACTTCCCCTATCGATCAGAGCTTCAACTGATGTATCACTAACCTTAATATTAATTGTAGCTTTGTTTAACCCAGAAGTTGAAGCCGTAGTTAAAATTGCCAAAGTTGTAGATGCAGCGCGAGTTTTAGTTCTGCTTTTAGTCTTACTTTTACAGACTCTTGAGAAATGGCCAGTTTTAAAACAATTGTTACAAGTGGCATTGGAAGCCGGACAGTCTTGTCGAGGATGGGTCGGATCCCCACAGAAGTAGCATCTAGAAATATGTGGTGTCGATGCAGCTGAGATCATATCTTTGTCATCTGAATTATTAGAATTATTATTAAATTTTAAGCTAGTTTCAACTGCATTTACGAGACATGAAGAAGGAAGCGAGAATTTACTTGATTGTAGCTGAGCGTTTTCTAAGGAAAGAGCTTGATTGTAGGCGCTTTCAAGGTCTAGAGAACTATTCTCCAAAAGTCTTTGTCTAATTATCGCAGATGATAATCCACCAATGAAAGCATTTCTGACGTAATCATTTTTAGTTTCGTTTGCAGTGACAGTCCTAAATTCACAATCTTTTGCTAGTTGTTGCAATGTTTGTAAGAATTTGTCTACAGACTCACCAGGTTGTTGACGTCGAGTAGCAAGAATATGCCGCGAGTATATTATATTCTTCGGTTTGATATAAACTGAATCCAAAACTTCTTTTGCTTCGGACAACGTTTTACATTCGTTAATGAGTTAAATATATTCGGAGCGACGTGGTTTATGAGCATTTGAAGTTTCAGTTCTTCTTTAAGCTCAGCCTTTTGGGCACTAAGAAAGTTCCTAAACGTTTGCTTCCGGTAGATCCATTCGTTA